AAAAAAAAAAAAACAAAACGAATTTCGACCGATAGGGTTCGAAGACATAAATATATTAATTTCTAAAGTAATCGATAGATGTCAGCACGTATCAACTTTAACGTTTATAATTTATGTATATAAGTGTATGTGTATAATCCAGACTATTAAAAATAAATAAATAAATAAATAAAAATGGACTGTCTATACAATAAAATAAAACAATTTACTTATAAAAAAAAGCAGTTTTTTTCGAAATATTAAAAAATTTATAAATTTAATTAGTAACTTATATTTTTATAAAATTTTTATTACTTATAGACCAAAAATTCTTCTTAGATATTTTTACTATTATTAATCACTAACAATTGATTCACTTAATTGTAATGTCACAAATATTTAGATCTGGGACATATCCGCCAGTCCCGCCATCTGTTGTTATTCACATTAAACATTTAAACGAAAGTATGTATAAATTTTAATAAATTATCTATTACAGAAAAAATTAATTTTATATATGGCGATTGTATATATAACAACAACAACCCTAAACAATTTTCTCAAAAAAAATATAGATTAAAAAAAAAGGAACGATAATTGTCGATAAGCAAAGCAATTTTAATAAATTTTTTATTTTATTTATTAAAATCGAATTTTTTTTTTTTTTACATTTTTGTTAACGTTCAAAACAGAAAAACACATTGTTCCCTTTTGATTTACTTTATAATGCGGTCGTTTCCCTCCAACCACATCTATACACAAAAGAATGGCGTACACTACACAAGACTAGAGAGAAGCGATTTGTTTACCTGACAAACGAGGATTTTTATTTCGTTGATTATTAAATACATTCGAATTATTTTTAGAGAAAAATCTTTTCAAATATTGCGCACAAATAATTTATCAAATTGTTTACTTTGATAATAATTAATTAATTATAAAAATATACTTAACAGGTTGACTATTGATTGATTGTTCGTATTGTTTATTTTCACGCGCATGCCTTTTATATAATACATTTAATTTACCGAAGGTGACCTTCCGCAATTTTTATTACAGTATTCGTAAACGTAATAGGAAAATAAAAAACAACGTTTATCTATCCTTTAATTTTTAAAATAAAGCGAATGTTTTCCATCAAAGACGTCATGTGCGGCAGTGGAACATTCTCCGTTATCATAATAACCGCTTATAATTCACTTTTCTATACATTATATCCTTACCTCATCTCTTTGACCGCTAGTCCTTCTACCAAGGTTTCGTATTTATTGATCGTTACAATGGCCTCGCCCGGATGTGACGTCATTTACTTAAAAATTACAAAATTTTACTTCCATGTATTTATTTATTTTTCATATCTCACAATTTATAATAATTATTACAAAACACGTTCATTGTTTCAATTCATTTTGAACAATTATTACATATAATAAAAAAAATGATTAACACCTTTCCTAAAATGTGTGTGTTGCCTTCCTAGTTAATTTAT